CCACGTATAATATAAGGAGGTACCGAAAATAGATAAATAATATTCCTGGTCGTATCGCTTGTTATAATAATGGGGAAAAAATAAATAAAACGAAAACGCCGAAGGGAGTAACTTTTTCGATCCGTTATTTTTTTTTATCGATATTACCGAAATGGACCCGATCATAACGCTACTTTCGCTTTCGGCTTTCGATTATTATTATTATAATATATTGCTGGTACTCATGCATACGGCGGATACGGAGGATCACTCGCGTCCGTGCGGCCGGTTATTTTAAATACGAGTAGTTTATTATTATTCTTTTTTTTTTATATGTACATAAAAACTAAATTTTATAGCTAACTTAAGCGGATAAAAAAATGTTTTGAGCGTACCCAACAAAAAACGATTCTGAGAGGAGTTCGGTTATACATGTTTTGAAAGGCCGTAATATTTACGCTTTCGTCAAAACTTGGTATTAAAATTCTTATAAAAAAAATTCTACATTAAGCTGAAATTTTTTTTTACCACAAAGAACGACTTATATATACATCATACTTTGAAAAAAAGGGTCGTTATAATGAACCTCCCGTTAAATTTTTATACATATCTATCTGATCTAACAGTTTTATCCACTGAATACCTAACCATTCGAACACCTTACCTTCCGAATAAATATTACGCAAAAAACTCGCAAAATTAAAATGTCTATAAATAGTTCAAAAATGGTTAAAATGTTTTGAAAATTTTACCACGATTAGAAAAGGCAAATATAAGTTCTCCGTTCAAATTTTAAGTCTCTATGAATATTTTTAGTTGAATTATAACGAAAAAAGTTGAAAATAATACACCGATTTAATTTTTTCCGTTTCCTTACGTTTTTTCCTGATCTTTCCCAATTATTTTGAAAAACTCTTCAAAAATGACTACCTTAAAGCATTAAGAAATTTCAGAAATGTTGTTACACTTGAAAATCAGAGCAAGATTTCTGGTAGAAAAGTTGTTCACAGAAAAAAAAAAACAAACATCATTGTAAAACCAATACATTCTCGCTTCGCTCATAAACTTAAATACAGTGTTACAATTAATTTCTAATATTCATAATCAATCGTATTTGGCTCCTAATAAATTTTTTTAAAACCTGAATAAATGTCTACGGCAGAAAGGAAATTTAAAATACTTCATTAAGTTCAAATTGGTTTTTTTTTGATTTGCAACTTTAATGACAACTTATAATAAAACTTTAAAAATAACTATAAATAGCTCAAATATGGCCATAATAATTTGAACGTTTAAAAAGGACAATACATACGTTTTTGGTGAATATGTCCGGTCTGTACTCTGTACTATTATTTGTATTTGAATTAATAAAAAAGTATATTATACATTTACGTAGGCAAGAGGGAAGGGGTTGTTGGAAAAGTAATAACGGTGAACCTAAAGGGAGTTGAGATGAAATGCAATTAATTTGAAGATTTTATAAGTGTGAGATAAATGTGCGAGATGGCCGAAATGGATTTAATGAGAAATTTAGGTGGTTTAGAAAAGTGAAGTGAACGAATGAGATCAAATGAAATCGATGAGATTTTACTGAAAATTATATCACACAATTTTATAAAATCACGCATTTGATAACGATTGATTCGGAACAACATTCAATATAATACAATATTAACAATGATATCAATTCAATTTTATGAAAAAGTCTAGAGGCGTGATATAATAATATCATACGTCATGATCCAGGCGAATAATTTACTGGTCGAAATTTTAAAATGATCTGTTATTCATCACGATAGATCGTTAGTTCTCGTAATACAGCTGAATAATTTCGTGTCGGTGTAACCGGGATTATTACCCCGTGAAATTTTACTATCAACCGAACTCCGCTCAGAATCGTTTTTTCGTTATATATATATATATATATATATATATATATATCAGTAAAACTATGCAGAATGAAATTTTAACAATGGATAATATTATAAACAAAGTGAAACCATCTCCATATTACAGTAACATATATTTAACGAAAAAACAAATAATGAAAATCATTTAAAAAATATAATAAGTGGAATTTCACCGGGGGAGGGGGGGTGAAATTTCACCCGGTAAATAATCGCGGGTAGACCGGGGCGAGAATCAAAATAATACCCGATAATGAATCGCTCGTCATAAACCGTTCATTGATGTTACGACGTATCACCGGTTAGGTTTAGCGAGAGAGTCCGTATAACTCGTTTGTCGACGAGTTTACGCGGGGCCAGGAGGACTGGAACGGCGGCCACGACGGCGTTAAAAAAAAAAAAAAAACATTGTTAAACGTTTCGTTTTGTTTGTTTCGCGTTAATCGGTCTTTTGAAATAACTAACAACGTTCGCGGCGCGAATCCGAAAGGGTGTTATTATCACGCCGCCCCGGACGGATCAGGCGGGTTTTTTTTTTTCTTCTCGCTAGGTACTCTCGCGCGCGGGGATTTATATTTCCAGCTGTTATCTACCCGTACAGCGCGACGACCGATGTATTATGTCGGACAGGGATATATAATACGATATTGTATACGTATACACGCATATACGCACTTATATACGTATCCCTTTCGCGTCCGGGCAGCGGCGGGGAGCGCATAAAATAATATATAAGACGGCGGCGGCGGCGCGGGAGGACGGCACGATAATAATGTATGGTAGGAGAAGCGCTGCGAAAAAGGGCGCGCGGGGCGTCGTCCTTCCCGGTGAACGGCGCAGCGCCGCCAGGCTCCGTCTTGTGGATTTCCACTTTTATTGACCTCGCCCTTCGCCCCCCGCCACCCCGCCCTCTCCACCCATTCCCGCCTGTCCCCGATACGAACCGCACACATAAGGACGTACGCGTCTCATCCGTAAGTATATGTGTGTAAGTCTTTTTTCTTTTTTTTTTTTTTTCCCCGTCCATTTTTTTCCGTCTCCTTCTGCAACGCTCTACGCGGAAAAATATGCGAAGGCGCGGCGGGGTTTATACGCGCGCGATATGATTTATGGTCATCTGCGGTAATAATCGTTAGGGCTTTCTCGGTGCCCTCGGTCAATATGGGTGGCGTATGATAAGACGGAGACGGGAGGAAGGGGAATGGGGGAGCGGAGAAGAGGAGTGTCGGGGGAGGAGAGTATATGCGAAGACGAACAGCGCGTCGGAGAAATAGACAGGCGACGGCGAGATGCGCGTGTTATTTTTTTTTTAGTTTTTTTTTTTTTTTTTACGGAAATCTATATACACGTATAATATATAAGACATTTTCCCGCAGAACCCTCGGCATCGCAGACACGAGGCAATAAAAACCCAAAGTTTCTATATGTGTATACACTATATTTTTACGACGGATTTTTGATTTTTGAATATTTTTATAAGACGTCTGTGCGAACGAATTATACATTCACTAAAAATGCGAAAAACTCTCACAAAACTATAATAATAACAATAGTAATAATAATAATAATAACGCACTGTTGTTTTACGATACTTCGGGGACCCGATTACAATATTATTATTATTATTATTATGTTCGGAGATGAATAAAAAAAAAAAATTGAACCTGTCACGGTTTAAATGTAAATTATTATCGTAGAGTAGTAATAAAAATAATGAAAAATCGCTCGAGTCAAACTTTTGCCTTATCGTATGTATTTACAGCGTTTGTTTCGGCGAAAGTTGTTTGTGGAAAACTATAAAAACACACCTACATCATCATAATATTCTGCTAATATTTTGGTAACGATTCGTTATTTTTTTTGTTTTGTAAACCAAATATTAGCGCAGATGCTAAACATACCGATTCTTCTTGTTTTTGCTCTTTTTCTTCGGGGCAAAACATACCTCTAGGATGATCATACATCCAGACAGTGTGACCAAAGTCCTAAACATTAAGTCAGGCGAAATACGTTTTAATAGGCCCCCAACAACTAAACACAGTCCATTGTACGTCTAACCTAACCTAACCTAGTATATATTTGTATTCCTGTAATAAAGTATTCATTGGGTTTGACAACCAAACTTTGGCCCGAAAATGAAGCGGCCCTATGCTTGGTTTTCAAAGGAAATCGGGCCCAAGCCCGACTTTAACATTGAATTCGGCACCACTGCATCATTTAGATCTCCAGTCGTCTCATTCCGATACTCGTGGTTTCCAATCTAATCATGCTGCTAGTTTTTCCACATAATTCGCCGATTTCTCGATCTCGACCCCGTCTTCGGGTATAACGGGTATCGGCTCCGACTATCATATTCTAATCACTGGCTTCTGAGTTCTGATGGCTTCAACGATGTTCCGGTATACCGACACAGTGATTTCTCGTAATTTCCTATTCTCCGTTCGTTGGCCCCGTTATCTTTTACAGCGCCAAATCAATTTCCTCTGAATAATATTGACCTTCGATGTTTATTGACGTTTTTATATTCTGCATAATATTACGATTAGGTGTATCGAATACGTACTCCGATAAAATAATCCGAATTAAAGGATAAAAGTATAAAACGAAGTTGTATAATTAGCAAACAATTTACACAGCACAGCTTTCCGCTTATATGTATTCGGCCATTTCGAGCATAGAATTGCTCGTCTGTCGAATTGCACAATCAATACAATACGTACAGTTGTCATAATTATATTGTTACGCTATTCATTGCGAAAGCGCTTTTAGTACCTAAATACAATTTTTAATAAACTTTAAAACCCATACCGTATTTTTTACTCGCTACTATTTTATTGACCCGGCGTATCGAATACGTATTCGACTACTAATCGTTATATTATCGACCGAGTTGATAATATAACGATCCACAGTGTCCACTAGAATCGTCGTTTTATTGTGAATAATGAAACCGGGTATACGTACCTACAAACATTGTTCGAAAATTTCGAACTCTAGACGTATTGTTTGTTTATCACTTTTCATTACGGTATGACGTATATTTGTGCAGACTGCTGCGTTTGCCGCAGGTGCGTGTTATTACTATAATAATATGTACACTCGTGTAAAATAGTCGATAATACTAATACGTGATAATTATTACTGAAGGAAATAAGATAGCGTTTTATTTTTTGCATTACGCCGTTGTACTATCGTCTGCGAAGTTCGTATTGTAAACCGAACGTGATTTTTATTACCTACGGATTTTCGTTTAAATAGTTAAAAAAGAAAAGAAAAGTATATTTATACATTCAACGAGTTTTATCAAACCGTTTGCGGTCAAACGCATCGTGTCATGGCAATGCGGCACTGCAGTATGTATTCAAAAGTTATCAAATAATATTAATACATAATATATATATATACATTATGTTGGTCACATTTTAATTTTCATAAATTTTTAAGATTTAATCAAACAAAATGTAATAAAAATAGTATCAACACGAAAAATGTTTAACCAGTGCACTATATTTTACCTTATTTACACATTTCATTACTAAAAAAAGAGCTTATATTGAGGATGGGAGTGGCCACTTTTGTAGGTGAGATGTTGGGAAGGTAGGATACATAAGATTATTTCATTTATATCTGTAAGAAACGATAAACCATTGCTTGACGAAGACGATTCCGAGCGCAGTTCGGTAATACATAATTTGAAGTACCGTAATTTTTTTTCTGATTTTCATTTAAATTTTATTTCAAAACGCTTATTGAAAAAAAAATAAAGTCGTCCGATAATTTTAGAAACTTTGGTAAGCCCAATATATGTATTATTACTAAGTTTTAAGTCCCTACGTGTATTTATAACCGAATTACAGAAAAAAATCTCTCAACAATTAAAATTCCTTAAAAGCTCAAAAGTGGCATTAAAGTTTTTGTGATGATACCGATGGGAAAGTAAATCAAAAAGGTGTCTTGTGATTTTTCAATGAAAACATTTATTCTGGTAAAAAATTGTCGTTCGTGTTTTTATAAAATAATGAAATCGTGAATTGTACATTTTCCTACGTTTTATTCCCTCTTAAGTGCTTTTATTTAAAAAATGAATCGTTTAATGTACCATCTAGACAACCTGAGATTTCAGAAAAGTCGCTACACATAAAAATCGGAACAAGTCTCCCAGAAAAAAACGTGTCCACATACTAGAACAAAAGAAAAAAAGAAAGAAATAAACAGCATTGTAAAACCAATAGCTCCCTCGCTACGCTCGGAATCTAAAATTATGTTAATCACATTTTCCAGTCTGCTACAATATCTAAATCCAGATACAATATTCACGTACATTTTATCGAATTTTTACTAACAACTATCAGTTTGGACAAGCTTTTCGTGGCGTAAAATTCAAAACATGACAAAGGTTTAAACGCGATATAATTAATAGTTATTTGTGCTAATTGTCATGTTAAATAATGACTTATCGCCGCAATTATGTACGTATTGTACGATCGTAAAAAACACCGTTCTCTGAAAAACGTATAGCGAAACTTAAACGCAATCGTACCGAGCAGTTCGAACCAGTCATAGCATAGCCGTGTTCGCTTACGGTACGTATCGAAAACCAACAAAAAAAAAATATCGGAAATTCCATATCAAAAATATTTGACCATTTTTCCGACACTTGGCGTACAGGGGAAATGTATCTATTTTACTGGGTGTTTTTTTTTTTTTAAATACCCTCTGTAAACAACTTTCTTTCGAGGATATGTTCGACCTAACATTTTAAAAAGCTTCCTCGAGATTTATGAAGGAAAAAAGCTGCTCACTGCGTTTCTGCCCTTGTACTTAAATTTCGTATTCAATATACCATATTTATATTAAGTATGTAAACATAATATCGATTTGCGAAACATCGTTTTTTTTAAAAAATCAATCATTTAATCAATATTTTAATTTAATAATATACTTATATACTTATCATCTCGCAATAATTTCCTTTTGACCTTTATATAATATGTTAATTATTTCTTGAATATCGCTATGAAAATCACTGTCGACGACCATTATCAATAAGCTCTATGGGTAATGGACTTTGACATAAAGTATTTCTCAAACCATTTTTGTCAAGGTTTAGTTTGTAAAATGTACGTTCGTATTCAACCAGAGTAATGGATAATGTAAGCATAAATTTGCATGCAAAATGAAGGCCAGTATATTCATTTGCATATAAATTATACTTAAAATAGACCTAATATTAATACAATATTAAAACGTCAACTGATTTTGATACTGGGGGTATGATAATCCAGGGATACGATTTGTCCGTTACACTGGCGCCGATTTGAGGTAGGAATAAGGAAAATTGTTTAATAGGATGATATTATACGAGCACATTCGTTTGTAGTTTTCCTGTCTAACACATACGCGACATAGCAAATTTGCGTTCGTTAAGACACACTTTGTGTCGTTAGTTTTAATATTAGAGTGAATTGACCTAATCAAATATAAAAACAAAAACATTATCTGTATTCCTGTGTCAAGTGATTTTCATCATTCAATATTTAAGTGAGATATAAGAATTGTTGAATATTGCTATAGTATTTCACACACCAGAAATATACCTTTCAACTAAATGTGTGCGTCCTACAATTATGCGTATACAAATGTACTAATTCGAGGTAATGACTTTACGACTTGTAATACTTTTATTATTCATTTTCATTCAATGGTTCTAAATAATAATGTAATCAGCAGTTTATCTATAATAATAATGAGTATAATATTATACACTAACAATCGTCAATAGCAAATAAATTATAACAATTTAGACAGGTCTTATCTTTCTATATAATGTTATGATAATGTTAAAATGTTTAGCAAAAAGATAATATTGTGATAATAATAATAATAAATACATTAAATATAAATAATAATGTCATTATAATACATAATAATAAATTTAACATAATAATTATAATATAAACGAAATGAGAAATCGTAAAATAACGCTAAAACAACGGTTGATTGCGGTAACAATAATACAAAAAATAATAGTAATAATATTAATAATAATAATAATGGGATTAAAATATACGATTTTGTACACGAACAAAAAATTAATAAGATAATATAGTTTGGAGGTATATACGATTAAAAACGACTAGATAATATTGACACACGAGATTAAAATCAAAATTTTACTTTCATTCCTTATAAATAATCCAAAAAATATTTCGTTAGTTTTAGCTAATCATAAAATAAATATTTCCGATAATTAATAATTGATCAACGGAATATTAATGTTATAGACATTATGTGCAGGTGCACGGAACTCTAAATATGTAAAATACAATTGTAGAGTTTAGAACGGGTTTTTTTTTTTTTTTTTTTTAAATATTTTTATATATCATTTAAGGGCGTTTACCGCGAAATTATATTGGACAGCGATCGGTAACGCGACGATCACGACGATACAACCTAACCTATAACATTCACACGAAAACAGTTCTTCACGCCGCGGTATAGCTGTGCGCATTATCGTCTAATATCGGTTACCCTATGTACAGTTGTGTTTTAAAACCGTTATCGTTTGATTTCGGTCCATTTAATTTTAATATTAAAATTATACAAAGCGGCTGCGGCGGCGGCGGCGGCGATCACGTGACAATATTTATTAAGGCCAAACGGCCATTTGAGGGGGGGGTATTTTAATCTATTTATCGGACCCCATTACAAAATTAAATTCCACCCCCCGCCCCGACCCGTCAATGGACACGGTTAATTATTACTTATACTCGCACGCCTACACATGTATAGTATTCGGCTATGATTTGTACGGACATTTGTCATTTTTGTCGACCCTAATGGTCACCACCCTTGTTTTCGCATTAGAGGGTAAAGTGTGCGGCGTGCACTGCAAACAAAAAAAAAAAAAAAAAATAACCAACAAGAAACTCGTTCTACAAATCGAATTCGAGTTTAAAACAAACACAAAAAAAAAAATTTATATTACGGAATAATAATATTATAAATTGCTCGTTTAAAGTTATTGAATATCACTACCGCGTTAATGCTATACCTATTTTTTTGTTTTAATTTTTTTTTTTTTTTTTTATTTTAATATAAATACGCCACGTGTTCGACTTGAATCGATATTATCTACATATTTAAAAACACACGAAAGAAAATTTTACAATAATATACATATATAATATTAAATTAGCACGTTGATGATAATTTCTAAAATTTCATACAAATCGAAATTTACACTCGTATCCCGGCCATAACAGCAAATAGCGGCAAACTGGCGGACTATGCTTCCCCGAAAACTAATTGTAATCCACCGAACATCTGAAGACGTAATCGTTGAGAATGTATAAGTTCATTCATTTTTTTTTTTTTTTTTGATTTTTATAAAAAATGTAAAACCATCCATTTTATAAACGCTATTTGCTCTCGCAATACCGACTGTTAATATATTAATAGATTGTGTTTTTTTCTTTTTGCGTTAAATACATATTTTATTATAAACATATTTATAATAAAACATTGCTTCCATTACCTACTTACTTACTTAATTACTTACTTGATTACTCACTTAATTACTTATGCATACAAATATATATTTATATAATTATAATTATACAGTTGAAAGAATAATTTTTTTTTTTATTCACGGGAAACGTATGAGGTAAATAAGTCTGGAAAAATTAATAGCCGAGTATACAAACGGTGGTCGTTAAGTCTAAACTCTAAGGGTTTTGTCGGCGTTTAGAGATCTTTGTGTGAAGACCTAAAAAATGATTATTCACTTGCTAGAATCCATTGATTTATACGGCCACCGGCGGTGATATTTTACCGGGCGCAGTGACAGAAAACTTCGAACGGAGTTATTCGGAGTTTAGAGAACTAAACTTCGCAATACTTTTAATTATTGCTCAATATGTTTAATAGGTAATTAAAAAACTTATACTAGTGATACAATGTCTCTACTCGAAGTTAAGGATGAGAAAATGAGGAATATACAGTTCAAACGGACGTTTATATGATGCGATGATCGTCCGCTAGCCGCGAGTACGAGGCGTTGCGCCTCCTGCTGCCCGCGGCCGCCTTACGTCATTTGGCGCCCTGTTGCTGCTGGTGCTGGTGCTGCTGCAATGGCACGTCGTCTTCGTCGTCCAGTCGGTCGCCCTCCTTGTCTTGGTGCGCCGTCATGTGCCGCGTCAGGTGGTGCCGTTCCCGAAAGCTCTCGTCGCATACCGGACACCGTAGCTTGTCCATATCTCTGCGCTTCTTGGCGTCCAGACCGCCGCCCGTACCTCCCGCACCGCCGCCGCCGCCGGCACTGCTACTGTCACCCTTGTGGTGCGACCGCATGTGATACACCAAGTCGGAGGTCATACGAAAGCTGACGTTGCACTTGGCGCACACGTTCTGCGACGGCAATGTAAGAGCGGCCGCGGCGATGGAGGCGGGCAACAGCATGGCGGGCAACGCGGCTACAGCAGCGGCCGCTGCGGCCGCCGGACCAAACTGAAGTGGTGACGGCGACGGTAGCGGTGGTGGCGGCGGTTGCTGTTGTTGTTGCTGCTGCTGCTGCTGTTGTTGCTGCTGTTGCTGTTGTTGGTGTTGGGGGTGATGAGGATAGGGATGATGTTGTTGGTGTGACTGCAGTGACGGTGACGGGTACTCTTTGCAACCGGCCGCGGCAATCAGCTGTGGCCGGGACGGCATCATCATAGCGAACGGTGACCGGAAACCCAACGGGAACGGCGACATAAAATGTGTCGCGGCCGCCGGCAGGGGCGGGCTGAGACTGCACTCCTGTTGGTGCTGCAGGTGATGCTGATGCTGTTGATGGTGCTGCTGTTGCTGATGCTGAAGATAAGCGCTAAACTCGATAGGCGGCGGCGTGGCCGGCGACGATGACGGTGACAGGGCCGGCGGGTCCGGCGACACTTTCGTGAATGCCGACCGCGCGACCGACTGCAGTGTGGGTTGCAGTATGGGTTGCTGAGGCCGCGGTCTCCGCTTGCTCAGATCGTCCGGCGCCATCAGGAACGCCACGTCGAAACTGCGCTTTTGCGGCCGCTGGTGGTGTAGCGCGACGGCCGGCAAAGACGTCACCTGATCCGCCATGTCCGTAACCGCCGCCGGCGGCGAGTACCGCGCGGGCGGCGACGAATACCGCGCGGGCGGTGACGACGACGCGGCCGTCACGTTCCGGTGATGGTGGACGTCCATTGTCATTCTGCCGAACCGGTTGTAATCTGAAATCATAACGACACTCGAGTATAATGTACCGCGTTTATAATTCGTTCGGTTAGGTTCGGCTAGTTTATGTTAGGTTTGGCTTTGGTTTTACGCTTGGGTAATTTAAAACTCGTGAGGTTTTAATCGGCTTTTAAAATCGACCAATCACCACAGAGTTCGAAATTGTGGATATTTTCAAAATAATACAACACAAAAGGCAAGACCGTTTTCGAAACAAACGTGATTTGCGTGGAGCACGAAAAGAATTCGATACGTATACGTAATATTGAAAATTAAGGTAGAAAAATAATTGTCAGCCTCTCTTGGCTACCCTACCGTTTTTTTTTGTGATTTTAGACGTTCGAAAATCTGTCGGGCCAATAAATAAAAAATAATAATAAAAAAAACCAAACGAATTCACCGCCAAGTCGCTTATATTATCGTCGTGGTGTATTCAATTACCCGAGGCGACCCCTCGGTGCAATAATAACAGTAATTGCGCGCGGGGAGGCGACCCACAGGAACAAACAATATTTACGTACTCCCGTAACGATTCGGACGATTTAACGAACTTCGTCGCTCGCGAAGTTTATTTGTTCACAACGCAGCACACTAAAAAATATAATGTCGCTCTTCGGATTTCGAAATGAGATAATAAACGTCGGCGATATTATCGATAGTAATTTCACTAAAAAATGTTTAACGTCGTATTATTGACTTGAATTACTTGATTTTCCTTGTTATTATCACAGTGAAACATGATCAGACCTTAAACCTAAGGTTCTTCGGGTATACTTAATAAGAATAATCAACCGCCCTCCCCCCCCTCGTGTTTATTCTACAGGAAATATCAAATCATACTTAGTTTGAACCCGGAACTCCATACATTAGTGAGTAAAAAACGAAAAATTAAACTGTTGAAAGGGTATATAAATTGTAAATGTAATGTTGTGTTATGGGATTTATACTGTTTTTGACGCGAAATCGTGCCTTATGGGAAAAACTTTCGTGTCTGTGGACATCGATGATTATTTTTTTGTTGGAAAGTGAAAAATTTCCCACAGATCGCGCTGAGAACTCCGTTTTCAATATTTTCGTCTCAAACATTTTTATACGTCTTTTAAAAATAGCAACTCTTCACTTTTTTTAACTACCTTTTTAAACCGTTTATTTAAAATACAAATTGGAACTTATTAAACCTTTAAATTTTGTTTTTGTTAACTCGAATTTTCGACGGCTTGTAATATATCAAAAGTAAAATTTAAAAGTTTAATAAGTTTACTGCGCCTTGAGTACCTACCACATCTGGTACTCACGGTCAGTACCCTAAGCATAATAAGTATAAATATTTTTAACTCGTTCATTTCATATGCTTTGAGTACCAATACTGGTACACATAGCGTTAGGCTGATTTGGCTTCGAAGGACCATTTTATTTTATTTTTTGTATAATCTTTGTCACTGAGTTTCATTGTCGATACTGTATTAGACCTATTAAATAACTACGGCAGTTGACTTGCTAAAAGACGAATCGAATGTAACTCGTGTGACTCTTTAGTGTCCAGCCTCGACTACAGGTATTATAGGTATTTTGAACTTTGAGTGCCTGCACAGTGTAGAACTTCGGACGTTATAATGTTACTGCAGTCGAAACGAACTGTGTCGTGTATCGAGGACAACGGTTACATTACACTTTTATAGTTTAAGGCGCGCCACAGGTGTCAGGAGGATTGTATTTTGTGTACCGTTATAATATCAGGTGCTCGTATGCGAAACATAACGTACATACCTATGATATTGGACGATCGCGATACTGATAATAATAAAAATAATGATGCTATTAACGATAGAGTAACGATATTGTGCGTTGTCTTTTTGGTTTAGGTGATTTTTTTTTTCTAGTAACATTATTCGTCACACTAGGATCCATGCACGGATCCTGAACAAAGATGTGGGGGTGAGCCAACAATTTTTTTGCAACATAAATACAATTAAAATACAATATAATATATATTATTTTCTCATACGTATCAGTGATTGGAATATAGTAATATAAGGATCTATAGAATTAAAAAAAAAATCGGAGAAATAATATATCTGGAGGAGCTTGGTCCCTAGACCCCCCTTGAATCCGTCCCTGCATGGATATTCGATTTTCTCGTAAATTAAACGGATTAATATTAAACCGCTATTTGTTCGGGTCATTACGCAATAATATTAAGATTAAAAGTATAAAAGTGTTTTTATACAAATATTTATTAAATTATCAATTATTATCATTTCCTACACAAAACCAACTAAAATACATATTTTTTAAATATATAAATAAATGAATTCGTCACCTAGAGTATTATGATGTGTACCGTGATGTGTGACCGGTTTAGAATAAAAAATTCATCGTCGGGTAAAATTCCAATATCAAAAAGTAAAATCGCGACTGAATATGAGGAAATAAACGAAGGAATACATAACGAAAAAAATTATAAAATTAGTCGTTTTACATAGAAATAATTTATTTTAATAGGAGAGATTATTTAAAATGAGTTGTTATTAGACATAAATATAAACTATTTGGTTATTATTTATTATCTAAAATGTATTGATATTAGATATCATTTTTAAAATCAGTTTGTTCATTTAAAATATTATCACAATTATTTTTCTTTATTTCATTGCGTATGCATAATTCTTCTAAAACTGAATCAATGTAAATGTTATTTTGGATATTTATAAACTTAAATGTAACTGTAATAGATTTTATATAGGTAAGACAAATAGAAATTTTAAAATAAGATAAAAAGAACACATTTCTGATATAAAATTAAAAACGACTACCCCTAATTCAAATTTCGCTAAATATGTTTTAGAAAATAACTATAAATTGAGTTTTGATATTAATATAGGCTTAGAAATATTAAATACCAAAAATAGCGTTTACATTAATTCAGTTTTAGAAGAAATACACATACACAATGAAATAAAGAAAAATAATTGTGATAATATTTTAAATGAACAAACTGATTTTAAAAATGATATCTAATATCAATACATTTTAGATAATAAATAATAACCAATTATTTTATATTTATGTCTAATAACAATTCATTTTAAATAATCTTTCCTATTAAAATAAATTATTTCTATGTAAAACGATTAATTTTATAATTTTTTTATTTTCTCTCTGTGTATCCCTTCATTTGTTTCTTCATATTCAGTCGCATTTTACTTTTTGACTTAGTGATTTTACCTGACAATGAGTTTTTAATTCGAAACCGGTCGTATAATATACAAATCGTAACACTCTAGACGAAGCATTAATTTTTTTAATTATTTATTTATTTATATATTTATTTACAAGTATTATCATTTAATCATTTTGTTTTTATTTTATTATTTATTTACATATTTTCTCTTTTTGTCTATTCTAAACAAATCACATTTTTTAAGTTTATCTCAAGATTCTAAATATTTTCTATCATATTTTAATCTCGCTATTTGGTATTTTGAAATATTTAAAACACATTTCCATAAGCAATTTGTGCTTAAGCAAAATGAGAGAAAATAAACCGAGACTATTTGAGTATGTTACAAGGAAATGGGAATCGGAAGCAGTAAGAACGATAACGGAAATTAAAGTGGGACAAAAAAAAAATGTCCATATTTTGGAAAAACACATATTAAAATCTTATGGTAGACCTAAAAACATAATACCGATTTTATTTTTGACTGATAAGTCCTGGTTTATTTATTTACATCAACAAGTAATTGTAATTAATGATTTATGATCCGAAAAATATTATGAATTATAAGTATAATAGTTTGTAATTCTAATGTTCTACATCGAAATGTTCAAATGTGTATTTTGGGAACAATGACACTCAGTTTCCACCTCACGTAATAATACGTTCTTAGGGAAACTATCGTTGTTTAATTTCCTGCACACGTCATCCCTTCGCAACGGAAATTTGTTATAATTTGTTCTGCTATATTTGTTCTGTCCGTATACTCAAAATCTACCAAATGTTTGAAAGCCACAAACAAATTACAATGTTATATTACAAAAGTAAGTACTTAATAATATTGTTTGTCCGAAAAATCTGATAGCAGATCGATCAAATCGTATTTTATCGTCCGCAAACGCCTATAATATGAAAGGCGAGTGACTCCGTCACACTCTGTATACCCACGCTAAAACTATAGGCCCGTTGCCAACGTCGCTAAACCGTTGTCGTTTTAATCTGCGGTTTTATTCGAACGGATTTTCAACAAGTATTCGAATAATTGTAAAGTAATAAAGTATAACAATATTATTTGATTTCGAATAAAAATCGTAAGACAAGTGCGTTACGGGCGGCGGTTAGGTTAGATTATTTATTTTTTTTTTTTTTAATATTCGGTTACACGTAATAACTATTGTGCTTTCGAAGGTACCTATAAAAGATTTAAAATAACTGCCTCCCCCCCCGTACACTTGGATATAGAATTTAAAAAACGTCTACGGATACGCTGTAAATATAATAATAAAAAAAAACTTTTCCTAAAGATAATTTGTGGTTAATCGGTCCAATAATAATAGTAATAATAACAGTCTTCAACGACATTGCCAGTACAAAAACAATGTCTCCGTTCTACGGTGTACGTCGAACGTGATATCGACTCGACGAACTGACCACATGTTGATTCGAACGGCGGCCATGACGGAGGATTATAGCGCGGTAGCAATAAAGTGACGCTAGTGACGACGCGACGTGGCGACAAACAGACTTCAAAGATTTTAATAGCTGTGCCAGTATTATGACGAGAACCGTCGATTACCGAAAGCTCTACGCCGATAATAATCGGGCGGGGATAGGTGATGAAAAAAAAAAATAAATAAATCAAAAAATCGTATACAAAATCTGATTTTCACACGTGTAGCCGCGTAGATAACGATATTATTAACACGTAATGCCGATGCGGTACGACTCTATAACTCTTTATTTTCGAATATCGGACGCCAGATAAAATAACCGATATTGTGTCGTTTACCGTCATGAGAAGTGAATAAGTATACGGAGTGTGTCATTTGTGCGGAACGCGGCGTTTAAATGTATCGCTCCGCGACAAGCACAATATAAAAGCGTATGATATCTCGTCAGCGGCTGGCTCGAAGAAAACTGTACGATTTCGACACCGAAATTTCTATTTAAAAGTCCGAACCGTTAATGGAATTTTTAATGTATAGGTTGTCGTTCGAAAATCGAAACGATGGCGATTTCACGGCCCCTCGGAAATATGAGAGACGAAAAATTAAGGGCGACGTGACATTTCAGAAACATCGTTTGTTTTTGTAAATTTCCCGACGCGGAAAAGTCAACAATTACCGGATGTATTACACGTGATGTTGTGATCACTCTGTAGATACGTTCTCTATACTACACGGTGAACCGGTCGTTCGCGTGCACGCCGCTCTCGATCAGCCAGGACCGACGCGTTCAGTTCGCCATGGACCGGCCACCCGAAAACGGCGAGAACCCGACGAGGTAATATTGCAGTTGCTTGTATTATAAATATTTTTATTTTATTCGCATTGATAACGATGTTGTTATTTTGTTGTCGACAGCGGCGGGCAACCGCCGTTCTGGAAACAGCGCCGGAACCTAGTCGGGTTGTTGGCGTTTTTGGGTTTTTTCAACGTTTACTCGCTCCGGGTGAATCTGAGCGTCGGAATCGTAGCCATGACTTCGTCCACGGAAACCAGAGTAAGTCCGATCCAATTATATTTGCGGTATTGTCATATTTTTCGCCTCTCGTATAACCTCGTACGCCCGGAAACGGTTTACGGGTGTTTTGTTTTTTTTTTTTTTTCCGTATTGCAAATCAAACACGTTCGAAAACGCGCGAATCGTTTTATCGGACCGGGGGTACGGCAACCGAACGTCGACCGGGCCGCTGTTTTTGATTCGGGCGGATAAAGGAAAACGTTTCAAAGTAACGAAACGTGAAAAAGACCGTTTGTAACGCACACCGCGAGCGCAGCGCCTCGAGAAATGAAAGTAAAATAATGGAATGCGATTCTATGTGTTGTTATTATACATTTTTATGAGGTCAGTGTGTTCAGAAAACTCGTGCACCAAAAAACACTGCACGCTGCGCGCGTATGATATTATGCATTATGCAGCGCACCGCTAATTGTACGCGACATTAATGAACGACAATAATTATTGTATACTTTCAATACCCAATCGTGTACCGATACGATTACCGGTCTGCTGCTACCGGGGGAAAAAAATAAAAATAAAAATACGAACCCGCTTAATATAATATTTATACAAATTATAATAATTTGTTTTATATTCTGTCTTCGCCTGTAAGCGTGTACAAAAACGAAAGTCGACAAGAACGTTTGGAAATCGACACGCGGCGATTGCGTTATAAATGTTCGAACTCGATAAATATTTAAAAAATAATTTACAGTTTACGATGGATAACGTAATCGTCATAGTACGACGTTTCCATTTACCGAGTGTAGGTATGTAAATTCGTTGTACACACCGAATAACATTTTTTTTTTTTTTTTTTCATAAAATGTAAAAATTATTATTTTTCAAATAAAATATATAGATGAATGAATGCGTCGTCTGGAGTATTATGACAAGTGTATTGTACGACCGGTTTCGAATTGAAAATCCATCATCGGGTAAATTGATCAATCAACTCACGTCGAGTCGCGTTTTACATTTTGACTGTGATATACCTGATGATGAATTTTTATTCGAACCCGGTAGTATATTACACTTATCATAATACTTCAGGCAACACATTCATTAATTTATTTCTTTTATTTTTATATATACATTTTTTATTTATATATTTATTTACGAGTGTTAACCACTTTAATAATTATGTTTGTACTTTATTATTTTTCGACGAGTCGTATTGCTACCATACATAAAATAAAAAAACAAATTCTTTAGATAAAATTATTCATTTCGTTAGTATAAGTCAAAGTTTAATAATACTTAATTTATCGCTAATCATCTCGGAAAGGTTTTAAGCGAATTCGATTTCCGGATTTTCAATCATTACCTGTGTATGTAAACGTTTGGACTTTGTTTCAACGGTGTTTCCGAATTTTCACCCCTACTCCTTACACCAGGCATATCAGTCTCAAAGTATCAAGCGAGCCAAATAACATGTTAAATAGTTTACGGTATGCGAGCAGCACGTAAATATTTACCGAAAAAATACATTTTATACGAATTTTTCAATTTTATTCTTTACGGACACAAGTACAATTTAATTATTTGGAAATATTTTTAATAATATTTATTGTTAAATAACCACACGGAGATTAGACGTTGACAATGGAAAAGGCATGGTGTGTCACGTACCGATGATATCATCAGTTAATTATTAGTCTATAAATATAATACTTTTTCGGTTAAAATGTATTAGAAGATAACACACTATAATAATGTATACGAAAAATATACCGTTCTCTAAGATGTCGTGACACGAAATTTATATATTTTAATAATTTTTTTCATTCTGCCCGTTAATATTGGTAGCCGTGGGCCGCGTGTTTGACATGCCTGCCTGACACGAATACAAGGTGTCCTAAACTGTTATCCGAACGCCAATACCTCTCACAATATTCATTTTTATTTTCATCTCTCAATCACTGAAAAAAATTACTTTTTTTTTCCACTTTTTAAAATTTTCAAAATAACCATTTTTTAGAAAATATTATTCGAAACATTTAAATGTATCGTGCATTCATATCCGATCAATAGTTTCTTAATAATAACCGTTTTAATTTTAACTAAAATAAAAAATGGTTAATATTGCTGACGAGTGTGCCACTGTGGTAAGTGGAGAGTTGAGAAGGTACAATGCACACAGTTAATTAATTAATATCTGTACGCAACAAATTGTTGCAAACAAAAAACGATTCTGAGCGAAATTCGGCTAAAAAATTTTGAAATTCCGTGATTTTCACGACTTTCGTCTAAATTTGAACTTAAAAGCTTATAAACAAAACACTGCTACATCACACTTAACTTTCTTTTTACTTCTAAGCACGTCTTCTGATAAACATCGTATAACATTTTCAAGGATTTCAACTTAGCCAACACAATTGTATCCGTATAAAACCGAATTTAAAAAAATTTAAAAACCTTAACAGTTTCAAATAAATAAATATAAATAGCTATAAATAGCTCACAAATCGCCAAATTATTTTGAAAATTTGACCGCGTCTATATAATGCTAATATAAGTATCCCGTAGGACTTTTAGGGTGATGATATTTAACGAAATTATAACAAACAAAAAATCGAAAATGACAAAAAGGTAATTGCCATAAATTTTCCTGTTTCTTCTACGTATTTCCCGATTATTAAGAAAATAATCAGAAAAATTGCCTCTCCGATAAACTAACTAAATACAAATTGTTATCGAAAAAATACTACACTTGAGACAATATTAATTATTCTGGAATAAATGTTGTCAACTAACAAAAAAAAAAACACATCATAGTAAAGCCAATAACGTAATTTGCCATAGCATGCCTTATGATTTTAATAATTTTACAAAAAAATTAAACTAACTTTATAATCAATTACATTTTCAAATTAACTTTTAACGTGTTTACTTCTTAATTTGTTATCAATTAATCGAATTTATATTCATTAAGTTATCGAACATTGTGGATTATTATTAGTTTCACCAGTAACTAGCAAATTGTCCATCTCCTTCCCAAACTGTTTGTTTAAAACATCCGTAACTATTCGATATTAAAACGGTGTCAGTTATTATCTTTGAAGAGAATTGTTTTCTACAAATATTTCGTAACGAGTTCTTTTTCCCAAAACAGGCGAGCGAATTCGACTGGGGACCAGAACTCCGAGGCGCTATCTTGAGTTCGTTCTTTTACGGATACATATCCACACAACTGATCGGCGGTCTGTTGGGCTCCAAAATTGGAGGCGTGAAACTGATCGGTTACGGCGTTTTGTGTACCGCAATACTGACCATCCTTACACCTGCTGCCGCCAGATATTCGGTTTATCTGGTAATTTTCCTCAGAGTAATCGAAGGCGTATTCGAGGTTCGCATATTATTTATGATGCTCTAATATTTAATTTTATAATAAAAATAATGTCTTACAGTTTTTGTTCTCTACTTAGGGAGTCGTTTATCCGGGCATACATGCCGTATGGTCAAGATGGGCTCCGCCCACAGAACGTACCCGTCTGGGGGGGTTCGCTTTCTCGGGCAGTTTTGTGGGCACGGTGATCGGATATCCGATGTGCGGTTGGTTGGCCGAAAATTACGGTTGGCCTTCCACGTTTTACGTACCAGGTGCGTGAATTGTTTATTTATTTATCAACAATACAAGCCAAAGCCCAAACAATATAAAGTACAAATAATGATGAACAAGTGTGTTTTATGCTAGTAGGTAAAGTAGGTAGTAATTAACCCATAATTTATGAAAAAAAAAGAATAAAAAATTTTGTTAGTGGCAAAATGAGAATGAGGGATTGAGGTTGATGGTGCACATAAGCCGAATAATTGGAGAATATAGAGATATTGATGAGATAAGAAAAATTGAGCATTTACCAATGGTCGTTGAGGGGCCAAGAGACGCGTTCCAGATAACTATACAATAATATAATATTCGTTTGTCGAAAATCAAAAAACTTCACAACATACACTGTCTTGCACCTTATCTTGATTTTGTGTTATTCTCTTTCAGGATTTGTCGCGATAATATGGTGCACCGTTTGGTTGCTTTCCATTACCGAATCACCGACCGAAGACAAACACATTACCAAAGAAGAGCTCGAGTACATTGTCAACTCGATTGGACCCATTGACGAGCGACAAAGTATAGTAATGCGGTTATTCGGTATTAGTTCGTATAAACCCGACACTCGGGGGGCATTTTGATTGCCAAAAAGAACTTTGGCAAAACCAAAAATCGTTAACTTTTTAAGAAAAAAAAACATAACTTTATCGATATATGAGTAGTATATTAACGCGTTTACTTTCAGTGATTTTGATCTTTACTTATTTTAAAAGATGAAATTTATAAGCTCACCTCGAATTGCCCAAATACTAATGTTTTCTCAAGTGTCGTTATAACGTAGTGATCAGGGATTTATGAAAAAACTAAAGAGATTTATTTATTTTATAATTTTTTGTTTATTTGGCGCAGTCAGTTTTTCCAACTATCCATGGAAAGATATATTCACGTCAATGCCCGTATGGTCGATAACGTGCGCTCATTTTTGCGAGAACTGGGGATTCTACACGTTACTTACACAATTACCGAGCTACATGAATGGTAAAACAGTAAATATGGAGTTTTTATGATCGCTGTTTATGATATCGTTCGCATTTCCATTATTAGACGTGTTAAAGTTCGACATAGGAAAAGGAAGTTTATTGTCGGCTCTGCCGTACTTGGTCATGTCAATTATTCTCCAGGTCACCGGTTTCTTCGTCGACTGGATTAGAAAAAACGAAATACTCTCTACTACAAAGGTGTGGATTACACCTACTCGTGGATTTAACCTACCCATGGATATCTAAAGTGCTTTGTGCAAATTCGGATTCTTTCAAATTTACTTTACAATGTTATAGGTCAGAAAACTTTGCACATGCGGCGCTTTCGTTAGCCAGACCGTGTTCATGTACTCGGCGGCCAATTCCACGACCCCAACACAATCCATAGTTTGTTTGACGCTGGCCGTAGGACTCGGAGCATTCGCTTGGGCCGGATTCAGGTGAAAAATCATTATACGGCAGTTTGCAAAAAAAATAATGAGTTCGAAAATGTCTAACTGGTATTTATTTATTTTCACCAGTATTAACCCTTTGGACATTGCGCCCCAATATGCCAGCATTTTGTTAGGAATTTCCAACACGTTTGCGACAATACCCGGAATTATAAGTCCCATGTTGGCCGGTGTTATCGTAAAACATAAAGTGAGTGTCCGCCGTGATTAAAACGATTACTGCAGATAAAAAAATATTATCATTTCAAAATTGAAAACTTTAAAAACTCTTTCGATTATAGAGCGCAGAAGAATGGCAGTGGGTGTTTTTAATTTCCAGCGGTATCTATTTGCTCGGCTCGGTATTCTACGGTATATTCGCTTCGGGAAAACGACAACCTTGGGCCGAAATCAAAACCGAAGAAAAAACCGGACACGACAACAAAACGTTCGATATGAAACCGTAAACAGGAATAAAACCGTTTATGATTTTAACACACAATTCTGTGATCGCATATTATGGTTTTTTTTTTTTTTTAATGTATAAATTAAAATAAGAATTGAGATGAATATTTTTCTCTGCTGAGAGTGGAATAATTTTCAGTGCTTATTGTGTATTATTTAAGTTTTAATTGCGTAAATGTGATATGACAAAATGTATAGTCAACGACTAATAATTATTATAAATTATTTTATTTTGCACTCATTTATTTGAAAACATTGTGATTACTTAAACTATTATAATTTCTTTTTTTAATTTAACGTTTTTTTCTTTCGTCCAAAAATTCTATGCCTAACATTTCTAATGGCCATTGTAATCACATCCCAGTGAAAATTTCAAAAAGCTACAAACAATTCAAAAAAATAATAAAATAAAAATCATGTTAATACGAATACTTGCTCCACTCAGAATCTAAAAAAAAGATCACACATATTAGTAGATGAACCAATACATTCCTCGTTACGATCTGCGAGATCTTCAATTAAATTTATCTTTGTACATATAATTATATTTATATTATATTTATGTATGTATTAATATATGCTCATATTTTACAATCGGAGAAAATTTATATTGAAATTACATAATTAAAAATTTACCTTAATTAAATTTAATTATTTTAGATTCTGAGTAGAGCGGTGAATTATAGTTTTCCAAAGGTGTTATACATTTTTTTTTTTTTTTATCTGTGAACAACTTTTCTACCAGTAATATTAGTATGATTTACAATTATAGAATTTTTTCTGAAAGGAAATCTTCCTGGGAAGATACTTTAAGGAAGTTATTTTTCGGATTTCCTAAAAATTTTCCAAACAAATATGAAAAACCGGGAAAAACGGGAAAATAGATACAATAAAAAACAAATATAATTAAAGCAAATCTATAATACATATTTAATTACTTTACCATAAAATGGCACATTTATATTGTTGACAAAGCATCACTATCAACTGAACTACGCTTAGAATCATTTTTACTTTAGCAATGGTGTATCGTTGCTTACAGATATACATTCAATTATCTTCTATATCCCACCTTCCTAAATTATCACCTACAACAATGACTGCACCCGCCCCTATTATCCTGGTACAGCTTTTTTAAAATACTGATTATTATTATTGATGATTAATATTGTTAAAAGTTTTTATCATTATTACGATGCTGATTTGATTATTATTATTAAAATGATCATTATTAGTATCAGTTTGCTTATAATTTATAATATGCTGATTATTATTATTGATGATTATAAATATGATATATAAAGTGGTCATGATTGTTATTATTTGTATGCGTATTCCCCTTATCAAAATTATGATTATAATATTTGTTCATGGTTATTATTATGATTGATAGTTGTTATAACTATGCTGATTCGGTTATCATTATTTAAATGCTCATTATTATTATTATTCAATTGATCATTAGGCTTATTATTACCTATTATACTTATTAAAATGCTGATTATGATATATATTAATGGCTTATATTATTATTATTTATGGTTGTTATTAGTGTGACGATTATTATTATTGATTGTAAATATTATTAAAATGTCCATTACTTCTCATATTTATTATTATTATTTATAAATAATACATAACTTTTCTAGGTGGGAACTTGGGAAGGAAGGATGCATGTAGGAATTTAATGCAATAATAAATTATTTCTAATAAGAAAACTATTCTGAATAGGTGTCATATTATAGTAAAATAATTACAAAAATGTGCGTTTCCGCGACAACGATTGTTTAAAAAAGATAAAAATAATAAAAACTTAATAATAATAAAAAAAATTAATAAAAACAGTTGCCAATGAAAACCGTTTTTTAATGTTTTAATAATTTTTAACTTAAAGAACCAGGTTTTCCTCATTATCTCGAATATAAATGGGGATGCCAAAACTTAATTTTTTTAAAGTACCACTCAGGGAACATTTACTTTCAGGAAAAATGCTATACTTGATAACCAGAGTAAGCTTTCTGGTAGAAAGTGTTTACATAAAAAAAAAATGTTTAAAGTAAACATCATTTTAAACTAATATATCCTTCGCTTCGCTCAGAGTCTAAAATAATGACAAAAAATACAGACATGCATTCACACGATGGGTAGGCCCTTGTTGTATGTAATAAGTTGTATAAGGTTAATATGACTTATAGGGTTTTAAAAGGGTTTAATGTTTTTTAATGTAATTTTTTGATTTTTCCCTGGAGTTTCACCCAATAAATTGGAAAACCCGAGATAAACGATAAAATAGGTATAATATTAAATAAATATTATTAAAGAATACCTATGTTATTAATTTACCATAATATAGCATATATGATATTGTTGACAAAGTAACACTATCAACTGAACTCTCCTCAAAATCGTTTTTTCGTTAGCAACGGTTTATCATTACTTACAGATAAACATTAAATTCCCATCTGTATCCTACCTCCCTAACTTCCTCAGTTATTCCTTCCTTCAGTTTCTCAGCTGAATTCCTCTGTACAAAATCTGAAGCGGTTTTAGCGTCTGTCCTGTCTATGGTTGTTTATCATCAGACCTTCTACCACTAGAAATACTAGCACTCACTTTTCGTCGTTTGGACTGAATTTAAACGCGAATGTATCTCTCGGTTACGATTTTTGTTGTAGATATTGACTCCCTTGTCCAACGTTCATCAGAGATTTCAACTTTTCGTAATTTTGTTATTTATCCAATTGTGTACAGTGGGAATTTGACCCCATTGACCGGTTTAGTGTGCTAGTATGCATGATGTAAACCGAGAACTGACTGTTTGAGTTCAATATACGTCTACTAGTACGGGTAGTTTTATTACGGGAATCAATCGAAAATTTGCGAGGTCATTAATGATATCCCCGTTGGAGGGGAAAATTTCAAAGCGCGAAAGTGCGATAATGTTAATCGGATGGACGTCGAATGAAACAAGTCATTTTTTGATGCCTATTTAGTGTGTCAGTAAATAATAATTGTTAATAAAAATAATTTATATTTACAAAAAACCGATAATGTATACATTATCCGATGAATACTACCCATACGTGTACATTTACACAGCGTGTATTATGTAAATAATAATGTAGTAATGTAATATATAATGTATATTATGTAAATATGCTACAATCATAGAAGGAAATCGACCGAATATTTTGAGCATTTTTTTTTTGTTATTTTTGTAAAAATGATAATCTTTAGTACACCGATTTTTTCCTACATTGACATAGTACGAGAGTGCCCGGGCGGAATACGCTTTACTCGAATTTATGCGAACAAAGACAATTGAATATACCGTGCACTTTTTATCGCAAATGGTCTTCAATACCGTAACAAGCATCTATATATTTTATTTAGGTATGACACCGCGATTTATGATGAGATGCCAATTTAATTTAGGAACAAACCAATTTAAGTACAACCGATATACACAATAAAAAAGTTTAGTGGTTTCCCGACCCTAGTAACTATTATGAAATTATAGTACCTATTATTTCCGAAACTATGTATCTTAAAACAATATGTTCAAGGGCGAACGCAAAAAGCTAGGAATGTGTTGGTTTTGCTATGAAATGTGGGTGTTTTTTTGTCTGCAAACAACTTTTAAATCTGAAGTGATGCTCCGATTTTCGAGTGCAACATTACTTTATAAAAGAAAATCGTATTTATATAGTTAGTGTATTAAAGAGGCCATTATTTTCTTTGCAGTTTGGGAAACGCCGGAAAAATAGGTACGAAAACGGGAAAGTTTACGGCAATGACGATTTCGTTATTTTTGATTCTATTCGGTGAAAAACAACTATAGAAACCCTGGAATGTTTACACCTTATACATGTATCGGTATTTTCTAGGCGTAAAATTTTAATAATAAATATAATAACCAAGAAGATTTGATTCTTTTTATTGGAATTTCGGCCGTTCATTATATATATAGAATTCTTTATGCGCGAATCAGTAAATACATTTATTTTATAAAAAAAATAAATGAGACATTTTCTATATTATTTGTAATGACGGGTGTATTGTTCGAAGGCTCATGATATACATATAATACCGCATAATACCTCAGATGACGCCCTCGATTCTCTTTTACGGCACATTCGAGTCGGTGGACCGACAACATTTAGCCAAAATTAAAATCTAAGAAAACACCCTTAACACCGATAAGTCTTCGATAATATTATGATACATACAATCGTCACGAGACACCAATTTGATAAAATGTTTAAACTTTTTTTACTATTTTTTTTTTTTATTATTTGGTGAGGTGGATGGTTAATATCGTTTGTATTAATCCCATCACAGTTATACATTTTTTTTTTTTACACGTTATACACATATAACTAATTCGTTTATAATACCATCATAGTAATTTTAGTTTTAATTTCGAGAAATTTTTTTTTTGTTTTTCATTTAACGCATTGATTATTGTATTCATTTTGATACTCGTATACATAATATATCGTATTTTATTCGTTTAATTCTAGTGTAAGAGTTTTTTTTATATATATATATATAACATCAAACATAACGACAAAATATGAGAACAAAGCATCCCCTTTTACTTGTTTCCCCTTATTCGTTGTACTCGCATTTACCTAATGTTAATTTTTTAAATCGAGACCTGTAATAGTAAATACAAACAACTTATTTAAATGCACAAAGTTAAATTTTTTTTTTATGTTCTTTTATTTTTTCGATATTTTTTTTTTGTTTTTATCGAGTATTCATAAAATAAAATGAAAATACTGTACCAACGTTTATTTTAGTTGCTTACTCATACACAGAAACTGCGTAATATAGTTAAGCTCTTTGGCGTTTTAGTCTTTCTTCTCGTATACTCCAATGTACCAGCGCAAAAGTTGGTCTTTTATAATTTCATAGGCCTTTGTTGATATTACTCATGAGAGCGCGAAAAAAATAATGTAACTTTTTCATACAACGATTAGTTCGTATTATTTATCGAGAGCGAAGAGAGTACAACACATTTTTGTTGATTTTACATGCAAGTTCGTCTTAAGTATATTCAATGATCTGCAAAAAGTATAAGTATTATAATAAATTCGTCGAATATTTTGATACCTATTGAAAACGTTAGCCGTTAGGTATTTCTGTTGAACGGAATAAATATTGATTTGATTCTTTTTTCATTCGCCTACCTCTTAACCTCTCACTACTACTTAAGTAACTCCTAAATATCAACTTTTCATATATTTTCACATAAGATATTTAAGAAAAATTTCTTTTTTTCAACTATTAGGCTTTTATTCCCTCGAATCCCCTAATACTTTTTCGCGAACCCCTAGGGTTTCACGCATTCCTGGTTAAAAAACGCTGGTCTAGAGTGAATTACTCGATCGCAGGAAAAATTCAAATAAGGGGCAAATAAATGGATATGGAAATTAATTATGCTTTATAGAGCTTTACGAAATTATTGTAATCACCTAGAATACATTTTTTTTGCATATGGAAAAAAATGAACACGTTAAAATAAAGTTGACATAAATAACGTTTCAATTGAACTGACGCCGGAAAATACATCTCACCGACGATAATTATCGATTTAATATAGTCAAATAGCGTTTTTCATAAGATCGATACGATTACCATCACAGATTCCCTAACCTAACTTAACCGATAATTGAAAAAAAATTTTAATATGAAGACGTAAAAATTTACTCTACGTTTTAACGTCCACGCATCGAGTATAAGAATCTGTTGAGTTTATCGAATTGAGTATTGATTTTACTGCGGAAATCGAAAGGTTTTTTCTCGGAAAATACATTTCCGATTAGTAAAAATGCTCTGCTTTTTCCACGTCATACCTTTAAAAGATACGGATTGTCCGCCTGACAGTGTACTTGTATTTATTGTACAGATTCCCGACAGTACAGACAAAATAATCGTAATAATAATAAAACTGATAACAATAGCAACGCTATACGTCAATCGGTTTTCGGGCGACCGCAGATACTGCGAAGAAAAAACATGACTTGTACCTACCTATTATATTTTAACCAGTTTACCGAGCTCCACTCAGAATCGTTTTTCGATCGCAATAGTTTATTATCGCTTTCGTATACAACCATACTAAGATAAACACATTTTCTGAATTTCCCCCTAGTACCCAATACGTACAACCGTGGCTGACCCATGGTGCGAAATTTAACGAATTTTAAAAATAAATTTCAAACTTATAATGCTAATGATAAATTGATATTATTTTCCGATATTCGATATTCTGATGTTTACTACAGATATTAAACCGTCCCAATCCAATATTTTAAATCGAAAATCACGAGTCGATATAGAAATCAATCGATAAACCCGATTTTTTAAACGCTTTTATTCATATTCCAGAATTTTTTTTTTTTTTATCGAAATTATCGGGTTAAATATTAATTTGAAACAAAAATCCGACATCCCGATTTTATTGCGAGTTAAACCGACGATAACTCGTGACTTTCGTAACTCCAAAATGCGATATTTAAAATTATTACATTATTAATGGATAGAGAACAATTAACCCGTCGATTAAGACCATTTTCGCAATTATTATTCTATGAAAACAGCTGACTAGCACGAATTAGACCGACGATCGCAAGTGACGTACGCAAGAGGGATGTTAAGGGTTAAATCTCCCACACTGGCTCGGAAATATTTTTAAAAAAACTACGGGTATTCGTTTAGTAACATTCAATCTTGAAATGTATAGATTTCGGCCAAAAGGAAAATTTCGATTCGTCGATTTAAAAATCGGCGATTCGAATTCGTTCGCGGTCGCGAGAAGAAGGGGGACGGAGAAGGCGACGGAGATTCGTTCGCGATCATTATTTTCTGCGATACGTCCCGCGACCCGACGGCGATAATTCCTGAGCGCGCCGCCGCCCCGGCGATGTTCCGATATCCTCTCGGTATCGGCCCGCGCCGACAACTCGTCGCTATTATTACCAACGACAACACTAACGCCAATCGCTACGCAACGCGTGTAATAGGTGCATAATATAGTGAACGTCCTTACCTGTATTCATCCACGAACTGAGTGGTCCGGTTCCGCGGAAATGTAGGCCGCACGGCACGGCTTCGCGCGTCTTCGCGGCGACGATAGTACACTGTAATATTGTATCAGTATATGCGCGCAGACGGGCTGCAGGTTGCGGTGCTTGCGTCCGTTTCCAGCGCCGAGGATACACTCCCGTCCCTGCGGCACGTGCTGTCCGCGACAAGCGCCCGGATCCCGTGTATTCGGGGGGCGGTGCCGCCGCAGACCAATCCCCGCGCACCGGGGGCCGTCCCGGCGCATATGCCCCGTGCCGCCGACGCCCCGCGATCCCTTTCCGCGCGTATACGCCGTCGCCGCCGCCGGTTCGCGCCGTGCGCCGCGGCGGTCGTTTTCAACAATAATATTTTCCGTGCCGCGCGCGTTCAGCGACGTTATAATACGCGGTAAGCGCGGCGCGGCGTGCATAGTATATTTATACGCGTACGGTTTTTATACGGTGTGTGCGCGTACGGTTTTTATTTCCCCCGCGGCGGCCCTGACCGCGAGTACGGCGCGGGCTGCCGGGCACTGCCCGCACGGGGGTGTGGTGGGAGGACGATAATAATATGCCGGTGTACGGCGGCCGGCAGAAAGGGAGGAAATAAATTAAAAAACAATAAAAAAAAAAAAAAATACGGACCAGAACGCGACGTGCATGCGGTCTGAAAGTCGAGTGGCCTTATGGTGTACGTTTTACGCGCCGCGAACCCCCTTAGATCGAACGTACACGTTATGAAATATACGTATTGTGTGGGTTCGGGTTTTCATTATATTATTATTATTATCGCGACAAGTGCTCGAACCCCGCGCGGACTCGAGTGTTTCTCGCAAATGTCGCGGCACTCGTTACTATATACACGACGTATACAGGACGCGCGACGACGATCCGACGCGAGAACGATATTATATTATGTTTCGCGCACGGTAGAAAATATGCTTACGGTCAGCAGCAGTAGTAACGGAGCGGGAGTTTAGGGGTTATTTCCCCCTACCCCGTTTTCTGCTTAAAAATACGAAAAAACGTTGGTGATTTTATGTAGAAATTCATATATATTCCAGCTTTGTTACGAGGGAAAATAAAAGCTCGCGATTAGTATTGGCTTTTTTTTTATTTTTTTAGAAACCGGCATTTAAATTACCGATTACCACAATCAACCGATTAACACGGTCGGGTACAGAAGAGCAACGGTTTTATACAGTTCTTATTTCTTACATTCCCTCACGTAGGAAAATTCCCGGGCACGCCACTGCTTACAGTATATGATATTATGGTTCCATCGTTTTTCGATTTTTCGAAAAAGTACAAACTGATTATCCGTTATCCGCAGTGATTGCCGCACATTTTTGACTCACGCTTTTTGGAAAATTTAAGTTTTCTTACGGTGTCCTTAGGGTAAATCTTTGCGATCCAACAATACGGTTCTGAAGGCAGTTAAGCGTGTCGGTCTTAATTTTTTCCATTGTACGGCTAAGGTAAAACCGGCCAGAAACTAACGAAAATAAAATCGATGTATCGACAATTATTACGAACAGTTTTATTTTTTTAATTTCAGAGAAAAACTGTTGGGAATCTGGAAATTTGTTTTATTTTAATAATACTCGGGTCAAAAACTATCATTTTTTAAGGTACAGTGCGAATGATTAGAAACATTTTTTAGTAACCGACAGTGTTTTTCGAGAAGGTGCTTTTCTTCTAGACGTTCACGCATAATCGTAATTAGTCGCCGTTACAGCATCCATTTGAGTTTTAAATTTACTTTTAGACTAGATAATGATACATGACCTCAAATTGAATCGGAGTAGTTTTATAAGTGAATTAAAGTAATCAATTATTGTTTGAATATTATTATGAATTTTACCATTTTGTTATGGGAGGAAAGCGGCTTTTAGCTTTTTACGCCCCACGAATAAAGCCTGGGGGATAAAATTGTCTATATGCATGGTGCAAATATCAAAGATTTACCTTTTGGTAGTTTTAACTTCCTCCCCAACCATTCCCATGCATAAACTTAACGGAAAATACAAAGTTACAGAATTTAAATTTGTATTTATAAATATCAGTATTGTAACGGACGTGCTTTAGAAGTTTTCAACTTCTAACCCCCGCGGTCTATTTTACATCGGCAAAAATTTCGAAAACTGCTTAACCTGTTTTGATAAAACAAACTATTTATGACCAACTATTAAAAAAAAAAAAATCAAATATTTTAACATTGATGTCAACTGGAAACAAATTCTACTCTAGGGCAGAAGTTCTATTGCTCGTAGGTGTGTTTTTTTAGATTCTAATCATAGTGAGGGATGTATTGGTTTTATTACATGATGTATTTTGTGTGTGTGTGTGTCTGTTTACAACTTTTCCACCAGAAATTTTACTTCAATCAAAAGCAATAGCAAAAGCACTAGTTTGAGTATTGTAGTTTAGGTTAATAATAATGGGACAAAAACGGGAATATTTACGAGATAACGATTTTTGTTCTTCTCTAAGACTTGACATTTTCATTGAATACTTATATTAACATTTTTTTTGTATGTTACAACTTCCAAAACAAATAATCGACTTTTAAGCGTTTTATAACCATTTCAATTTTTCGAAGTTTTTTATTTTTTATTTGAATAAAAATTGTTTAGCTTTCTCGAATAAACTTGAAAATTGAATACATATTAAGTTGTTCTTTAGCATTAAAAAATACCGAAAATCCGTAATATTTAAATTTTTTTTTATACAAGTAGTTTAGATTGAAATCTTGACGAATATTGTAAAAATCACGACGTTTCAAAACATTTTTAACCGAACCTTGTTCAAAATCTGTTTTGCGATAGTTTATCATTGTGTACAGATATAAATTGAATTACTTTGTTGTACATTGTACATTTCCAACTATTCACCTACAATAGTAGCATCCATATCATTATTCATTGCTAACCAATAATCAAACATATTTTTTTTTTTTTTTCATTAACTTTGGATTATAAAAATTGTTTAGAAATATTTCCAAATGTTAAGTAAATAAGTAATGTTCTAAAAAAAAAGAACATAATTTATTTTCTCGGTAGAATCAAAATAATCGATAATATATTATATTACTACTTACCTAGTACTTCTACGTACTTTGTACGACACGTTATATTTATGGACACGCGAAAAAATACATCGGAACAAGTTTAAACTGAAAATAAAAATGTTCAAATCAATAACAATATATTAGTCTCCTGTCCAGTTTTAAAATGGATTGTTATAACATTCGCTTGTCTGTTACCGATAAACGTAATTCATTCTACTTTACACCTTAATACTTTGCGCGTATTATATTTTATAGTACCATATTTTACGTGCCTACACAAACCGCAAATCCATTATTGCGTTTTGATTAACACGAGATTATAGAATATTATACTATGGAAAACAACCATTATTATAATAATAATACCGATAGGTAGGCATTTCGATTATTATTGTCGCAAACACGGAAAACGACACGAATTTAAACTGAATATAATTAAAATAATTTAAAGCTCCGAGTGAGTGTGTGCATGCACACTGTACCCCAGTAGCGAATAATCATGATTTTAATATCACTGCGAATAAATATTTTTTTGTGGTCCACACTTAGGCGTGACGATGCTGTGGATACGATAATTTATAAAAAAAAAAATCATTTGTTTCCTTTCGATAGTACTGGGCACTTTTAAAAAAAAAAAATATCCGTTACGAATCCAGTTTTGTGTTTCATATCCTAATAAATGCGAAATAAGGTATCTGAGCAGTTATCTGAGATAATTGATTGAATTATTATCTAGATAAATGATTGTTAATCGTAGTTCATATATTTTTATTAAAAATAATATAGGCAAAATATAAATATGGTTAAAATGAATTAATATTATCAAGTTACATCGACTACGCGACTTTTTTTATGTCTAGATGTGTACCATATCTGGTTCGGTATTACCAATTTTAATATTTAGTTGAACGATAAGTAATGAACAAAATTATCTAGATAAAATGTTGCAGATTATGTAGCTTCATCTAGATAATTACTTTTTTAAGTATGAGACATATTTTATCTTCATCTGGATAATTATTCAAAGAATTATTTATCTTATCTTTATCTAGATATTTGAACATTTATCTTTATATGACACCGATGAACGTCATAATTCATAAGCTAAATGTCGTATTTTATTTATTTTTTTTTTTTTTTTGACTTATTCGTCTCCGCCGGGCCGGGTCGATGGAATATAATAACTAGAGAAAATATATATATGCTCTAAAACCTTTAGATATATAGCATGCAGGTATACGTTAAAAATATCAAAACATTTAAATATAAAACAATTTTTTCAAAATCATATTTAAAATTATTTAAAAGTAAACGAATAATTTTAGATTTTGAGCGGATTCTATATTTGTTTTACAATGATGTTTATTTTTTGTTTTGATTATTATTATTTTTAAATGAACACTTTTTCTATCAGAAATCTTACTCGAACTTAATCAAGTACAACATCTTTTTTGAAAAAAAAATGTTATCTGGGTGATTCTTTAGAGAGTCTCATTAATATTCGAGATAATGAGGAAAACCTGGTTCTTTAAGTTAAAAAAGATTAAAAAATTAAAAAACGATTGTCATTAGCAGCTTTTTTTGTAAATTTTTTGTTATAATTTTAATTTTTTTTTTTTTAAACAATCATTGTTGTCGTGGAAACGCATATAGTCGTAGTCGTAGTTGACAAAGCAACACTAACAACTAAACTCCACTCATAATCGTTTTTTCGACAGCAATGGTTTATCGCAATGTTCATTAAATTTCCTTCTGTATCATACCTTCCACCTACAACAGTCGCTGCACACACGTGCAAAGTATGATCGAAAAATCTAAAAACGCTAAAATATCCACAGTAAAATTATGTATGGAATCATAAAAATCATAAGACGCCGTATCGGTATAAACTAGCTAATTTTTTTTTATTTTTATCGACCAATAAAAATATGCAAAAACATATATTATAAATATCTGCACTAATAACAACCATATCGGACGGACGAAAACGCGCTCGGCGAGCCGGATGAAACGCATAAAATAACTTTTGTTTTGTATACTCGCGTGTATATATTCGAGTACGAATAACAAAA